TTCTCATACATTTTCCAGTAAATACTGTTGCCTGCCTATATTTTATTATTGATTTTAAATGATTATACATAATTTTCTTCAATTTAAGCGTGAAAAATATATAATAATAATAAATTAATGTTTTAATTGTTTTATAAATCCATATACTTTCATTAAAACTAACATATATACTTTTTATTTACGAATTCTATTAAAAATTGTATTTGTCAGTATAGGCAGAAATGCTCCTTTAATACCAAAACAAATTGGCGCTGCTGTCGCGCACGGAGCGAATAAACAAATCTGTTACCGTCAAATCAGTTACAGTTCGTGTTATCTAGGGTGTACTGCTAAAGTCAAAGATGACTTGATATTTTGTTCTGGTAAAGAATAGTTTTTCTATACAAATTTACAGGAGAAACAAAAACTATTGTTTCACTGTATATTAAAAAATATTAAAGCTTCCAATAACATCAATTTTTTTATCATATAAATAATTATTTTAATAAAGGAAGTTTTAATCAGTTTAATATAAGCAGTGAACATAGTTTTTATTACTCTTGTAAATTTCGCTAAAAAAAAACTTGAAAACTCTATTGATTATTAAATATTTAAACTTGGAAAAATAATACACCAAACTCTTTTTCTATAAATTATATTTTTGTAAGGTACAGAAAAACAAACTACAATTGCTTCCTTTAGAAAGTACCTCCTATCATTTTGTGACAAATTACAAAGAAAGTAACAGTTGTTATACATTCAAAATATATTTAAAAACTAAAGTAACAAATATTTTATAAAGTATAGAGTATATCGATACCTTTTTGCCAGACTATCATAAGTGCCATTTGAACAAATGTCGCTTACATTAGCCTACAAAAAGGTATGGATATGTTATGACTGTTTATTTTAATAGAAACCATGGAAACGAAACAAACACACATACACTCAACACAAATTTATAAGGCTCGAATTAAGTAAGTTGCCATGCCTTCTAAAAGGAAATGAAGGATGACATACTATCATCATTTAAACAGGACATTGCTGTTCTGCAGCAGGAGGTACTTTTCAAACATAGCAAATAATAATAATAATAAACACTATTTAAAGATGAATACATTTTTGTAATTTTTTTGTCATTGCCCCTTACCTGTCTCTTACACCACCAGGGTATACCTATTTTCCACATTCCCTTTATTACAGATTACCTTACAATGTTTGAATGAATATAACATTTTACCCATGAAAAATCTAATTTCGTATTTAACTCTTTTTCAATTTCATTTGAAACAATTGGTATATTACAATTTATTATCAAGGAAATCTTCTAATAAAGTTATAGCAAATCCTACTTAAACTACTGGTTGGTCTGCAGGATAAATTAAACTTTTCTTGAGATTGATCTCTCTCTAAAATCCAAAACCGACCTGTGTCCCCAAATTTATTTTCCAATGCATCCTGATTTAAAGTTCTGCCCTTTTGTGATTCAATTTTTTTTCTTCCTTTAGAGTGGCTGTTAGAGGTAGGTGTATGTAAGAAATAGCCAATCTCTAATCATTTCAAAAGTCCTTTGCCAATACTACATGTGCAGATTTTTTACTCCCTATACATTTTACTTTTCTAGTAGGTAAGGACTTTGTGCTACCATTAAAGCTGTCCAGACATTCATCTACCTACTTAATGAACAAAAGTAGCTGTAACAATGGATTTCTGTTCCAATTCACCTAAACTAATTATAGCCATTTTGTAATATATTATTAAACACACACATTATACAGTGGTTCTTAATAAATTGAAAATTACTTACCTCTAGAAAGAAATGTGTACAAAGACGCGAGTTTGGTTCCAGAAATTGCTTCATGCAAAAAATAATATGCAAAAATAAACAATCCCCCCCCCCCCCCCCCCCCCCCAAAGAAAATTAAACAACAAAATCAGACTCAAAGAAATAAACGGGGCCCAAATTAAATTAATTTTAATAAAATGCACACGTTCATAACATTGTCAGTTTTAATCGATACGTCAACGTCAAAAAACCAGCAACATCAGCGACCTCTTAAATTGGTGTTAGTTTTATTGGAGGGAGATAAATATATGTAAAGATCAATGTAAAAGAGAAAGAAAGTGATATATGTAATTTAAATGGACCACCGAACACTTTTTCCTATTAAGTTACTTGTCTCTGCTACATACAAATCAATCATTAGAAAAAATCGTTGATGGTGATTTACATTTTTACAACTCTGTGGAAGCACATAGTTTTGAGCAATTAAAAAGGTTCTTGAAGTGACGTGGGCGTTCGGAACAAGGAAAAAAGGGTTAGATTTCAATATTAACTGTGTAAAAAATTAATGAAAACAAATAATAATTATAACTCTATTCTAATTAATTATGCCAACGAACTATTAATAATTGCAAAAACACTTTAACATGAAAGTTTATCGCGAGTATAATTAATAAGATAAATTACTTAATATTTTAAGGATCAACATGACATTTTTAATAATATTACTCTGTATACCGAAGTAGTATTTAATATTAAAAAATGTAATACCAGACAAGGATTTTCTTCTGTTGAACCACTTTATCCATGAAAATGTAGTGAACAAATATAAGTATCTTTAGTACCTAACATCATCCACCAATCTATCGAAAACCTCTTCGACCACATTTTTTCACTCATAATGCTCATTTTGAACTTGTTTTAATATGTATTTTGCCTAATTTGATAGTTTTTTACGATATTGCAGGCAAGTATTTTTATAAAATATTAATTTATACCGTGTCACTTTTACATACTCATAACAATACTTTTTCGTTTCCGTCTTGATAACATAATTAATTGATTGCAAAAATTGATTTTTCAATTAAGAAACTTATTACTTTACTTTTTTATCCCATTTTTTTAAACGAATATACTTAAAATTAATATTTATCGATTTTATTTTTTTTTCACGTGGACATTTTAACATTCTTGTTTACAAAAAACAGTACGAAAAAGATGGCTGATACTGACGCATGCGCACAAAAAAAATTGTGATGAAAAGGCCTATCGACTGTATTAGCTTATGGAAAGCATGAAATAAAGTTAACGCTATGGCACTTTTTTAACTATTTTTTACTTTTTACTTTCCTATCTGTATACAGATATAAGGAAAGTATAGGAATCATGATTTTTTTCGACCTCGAGTTTTCGACGGATTTTTACGTTTTGAGGTCCCCTGAATCCGTTTTGACTATTTTCGCGATGATGTCTGTGTGTGTGTGTGTGTCTGTGTGTGTGTGTCTGTGTGTGTGTCTGTATAACGCATAACTCATGAACCGATACACGGAAAAACACCAAATTTCAAACTTAAGCTTTATTCCAGCGTCTAATGAGCTGATTAGATTTTGGGCAGAGTCGGAACATCTGGGGGGGTACTTTATAGGTGGTCATTTTTATATTTTATGGAATATATCTGTTATTTACGTTTGGGGAAGAAAATTTTTTAAATAAAAGTTACTTCTTATTTTATTATCTATAATTTTTGTCATTTACAAAATTTTCCTAAAATGGTCCGTATTCGAAAAATTTGACAAAATGTAAAAAAATATTTTTTTTTATAAAAATTGTTCAAACAAAAGTTATTTGTAATATAATTCTCTATAATTTTTGTCCCATAGATAATTTCTCTAAAATGGACTGTATTCGAGATATTTGAGAAAATGTGTAAATTTCGAAATTTGAAGAAAACTCAAAAACGGATAAAGAAAAAATCAATAAATTTTAAACTTAAGTTTTATTTCGGCCTGACGTGAAATGATTAGATTTTGGACAAAGTCGGAACATCTGGGGGGGTACTTTATGGGAGGCCGTTTATATATTTTATGGAATATATGTTATTTATGTTTGGAGAAGAAAATTGTTCAAATAAAAGTTACTTCTAATATTATTATCTATAATTTTTGCCTTATGTAAAAATTTCCTGAAATGGTCCGTATTCGAGAAATTTGACAAAATGTGCAAAATTCTGATTTTTATGAAAATTGTTGAAATAAAAGTTGTTTGCGATATATCTCTATAATATTTGTTCATACATGATTTTTTTTAAATGGACCGTAATGGAAAAATTGTAGGAAAAGTGCTAAATTTAAATTTTTCAGTATTTTCATTTTCAATGAATATCTATAGAAAAATGTTTCGCGGTAGATGTATGTGGACAATGTATATATATTTAGTTTATCCTCTAAACATTTATAGAGATGCTGCAATAGGTTGTACACAATAAACGGAAAAAGCCTGTAATAACTAGATAGGAAAGTCATGTGTTGGACACATCAGATTTTTACTCTAACCATAAACAGTCGTCTTAAGCGCTACAAATCGGTGAAATACAAGGTAGTTTAAAGATAGGGCGTAGAAAAAATTCATTATTTATTCTTACACGGGGTAGCGAAAGTCTGGCAACAATATATTTTCTTTGAAACAAACGAATGTATGATTTTGAAATTGTAGCGTGACGAATGGGACTGTATTACATTATTAATTTTTGTTTCTGATCCTATACATACAAGGTAGTTTGGCAACATAGTATTTTATGAAGATGAATGGGATTATATTACATTATTAATGTAAATATTGAATAAATGGTGTATAACCTTTTTAGGCACATTTTAAAATAAGCCACTGGCTAATGTTGATCAGAGTTAACTAAAATTTACTAAATGCGAGATTTTTACCAGAATTTCGGGTATTCTTTAATATTTGCAGTAAAGTAAATCTACACATTAAAATGTTTTGTTTGTATTTTTAAGTGGTAAATTATAATTATAAGTAAATACATGTTGAACATTATTTTTCGCTTTATAAAAGCAAAAATAAACTAGTTTAAACGGTTGCATTTCTGACAGATTTATAAATAAATTGTCATTTTTTGCCGTAAATAATGTGAGGAACCTTGCGGCTTTTTACATGTACTCTGGTCAATTTTTTCGCCTGATTACTATAAATATGTCATTATTTTAATAATAAATAATTTTAGCTGAAAATTTGGCAAACTTATACAAGGTATCTCGCGAACAGCAAGACGATTACGCTTGCAAATCGCAGAACAGGGCCGAAGCAGCTATAAAAAAAGGATTTTTTGAAAAAGAAATTATCGGCGTTCCCGATAAGAGAACCGGAATTTTAATTGACAAAGATGAGTTCCCGAGATTCGATTCGACGGTGGAAAAACTGGCGAAACTGAAGCCGTGCTTTATCGCGAACGGAACTGTAACACCCGGAAATGCCTCAGGTAAGAAATATACTTTTTGTACGTTGGCCGGGATTTTTTTATTTAATTTAATTATTTAAAATTAATTCTGATGCTTTGGTAGGATTCCCCACTCGACCATTCACTGTTGGGTTCTAATTAACAGTGCTTTTCCTAAAGTGGCGCTGGGAAACAGTAACAAAGCCAACACAGAACACTAGGCTAATGGCCTTAGTAGTCGATGCCGATGACACCAAATTAAAAAAAAAAACATTCGCGTTTTCCTCACGGCTTACTTATTGCGTCGAAAGCTGTTAATTTTTCACATTCTTAGTACCGTAAAGTCGGGTGACTTTGACCCGCATGGGTGACTTTAGCTCAAATCAGTAAATAGTTATTTTTGTTCACAACAAATTATACGTCCTTATTTTAAAATAAAACTTCCGCTGGTTTAAAACTACCCAAAACACTTTATTTAAAGATAATTGGACGCTTACGCTTTTTGTAGCATAAAAAATGTATCTCATTGCAAAATGATCGAAATTGAAAGGTGATAAAATTTGTATGCAACCAACAATACTCTTGTTTGTAATATTTTTAGTCATTACCTTTACCGTAAGCAATAATTTTTTTTTAATGATAAAATGTGTTTACTATCAACTGTGATGGGCGGCTTTAAACCAACAAGTATTATAGAGAAAACAATGTAAAATGATGAGTGAGTCAAAGTCACCCTCTACCTGCGGGAACTAGCACAAGAAAAACGAATGAATTTAGTCACCTGTAGGTGCAAAAGCAAAATCATCTATGAAGCTGCTTTCAGATGCAAAAAAGCAGATTGTATGTGCCCGGTCACATATAAGCATTGTAGCGGAGAAAAATGAGCAATATATTGTTATTTCATTCAGAAGAAAACGACTTAAAAGACAACTGTGCAAGAGAGAGGCCAAAACCTCGAAATACATCACCAAAGACGAATGGACTATAACGATAAATTTTTTTGATCCATTTTAAACTTTAATTTTTACAAAGTACTTTAGAAATATTTTGCCGTTCAGATATCACTGGAGGCCGAAATAATTATTAAAGTTGAAAATCCCCTTATGTTCCATGACGTGTACCAATAAATTCAGAGAATTTAAAGTTTTACAATTCTGAAAATATGAAAATAAAAAATTCCCAATTTCCCCTATGAAATTATGAAAATTGCACCCTCATCTCCCCAGTACAGAAATTTAAAAATATTTGGGCCATTTACCCCCTTAAGCATGTCTCTGTAAAACCAGTTAAGGTGTAAATTATTCTTACCCATATAAAAATATTTGGCCCCATTACACTGTACACCTGCAAAAATATTTGGGATAAATAACTACTCAAGTAAATAAAATCTTTGAATGAACGTTCAAATTTTTTTAAATAATTTGACATTTAAGAGGTTTTACAGTTGACAGACAGTATATTCTGATTTCACTGTTGGTAGTGAATAAAATAAGCTTCATAAGAAAAGCATTGGATTTTAGAAAAATCGATATTTAACGCAGTTACGTTGAACCGAAAATTCTGAAAATCAATAGAGTTCCAAGTTAGAAGAAATTATGCAAGAAAATCAAAACCGCAACTCGATCTGGGCATTCGTTCTATAGTTATCGTGCCTTCTGTATATATGCACAGACTACCAGGTGATTTCTTTTTTGCATTTTCGCACTTAGAATAATCGGAAAATTGGAGTCCCATGGGCCTCAGTAATTTGAAATAGTTCCGGAGTAACAGCCTGTAAAAAAAATCACAAAATGCCAAGGGGATTTAGAAAATTTGGTTGTTTCTTATTACAATCCAGTCAAAAAGTATTTTTGAAAAAAAAAAAACTATTTTTATTGTACTATTTTTCTTACTTTTTTTTTTTTCATTTTTTATTCCTCGTTTTAGGTATTAATGACGGTGCCGCTGCAGTATTACTAGTTAGTGAATCTGTAGTTAAACAACAAAACTTGAAGCCTTTAGCTAGAATCGTAGGTTTTGCAGAAGTTGGCGTAGACCCCCTATGTATGGGCATAGGACCGATTGGGGCTGTAACCAAACTTGTAAGTTTTACTAATATTGTTACACTATTTAATAGAAAAGTTTCTTTCTTTCATACTTTACCATAATAACTGGATCATCCGCATAGCCAATGCAAACCTACTACCTCCTGTACAGAAAGTGTTTAGAAGGTGGTCAACCTGATTAGTTCACAGTAGGGAAGAAATCATTCCACATCTAATAAGCCCGAATCTAACCCTTTCTGCTTGTATAGGTGAATTATTATGGTTAATAAGTACAATTGGATCAGTGTGCACGCGATCCTTGTGGAACACCCAATGATACACTTCACGAGACATTACCACAGCTTATTCAATACCAGTTATTTGTGTTTAAGTAGACATTCGCATTTCGGGCGAAAAAACAGTACTGATTAGTATTTCGAATCCATTACGGCTATTGACACCTCAAAGTCCTATTGACTGCAATTTATATTTATTGTGTTTGTATTGGGATATAGTATGATAAAAGGTATTAATTAAAATATACCTACACAATGATCATGATATGTATTCTGTATAACTCGCTATTTTCAAACACTATTACACCTTACTGAAAGAGTTGATTGTTGTTCCTGTTCGGCTAATCACGTGGTAAAATTTTCCTGATAATTTTAATTCTCTCAAAAAAACCGAGAGAAACAGTCAGTGAACTGGCTTTCCACGTTTCTCATGAAATCTTGAGATAAATCAGTTCTCCTTTAAATTGAAAATAAGTCTCCTGAAACTAAACTAGTAGAATCATTCGAGCAGAATCCTTTATAGAGAGCCTTTCTACCTCGTCTGTTTCGAGCAGGCGATGTTGGTTCTGTCACTTTTCATATGAGAGACGGGCCAAAGGTTAATTTCCCTCGTTGGCAAAATAATGTTCAAAGAAGGTCAAAGGCTCCAGTCAGAGTGAGCTAACTACTTATTGTATGCGGCCATAGATAAAATAACAAGTAGTTCCGACTATTGCCTATATTATCGAAACTATTTGAAAAAGTACTTATGAAAAGGATAAAACTTGAAGAATAGAAATTAATTCTAGATTAACAGTTCGGCTTTAATTATGATCAGCTTCATATAATCTCAAATGTGATTGAAAAAGCATTATAAACAAAGTGGTCGGCTTAGCCAACTTTCTTGATAAAACATGGCATGATGGCTTAAAACATGAATATGCTACTTCCACAGCCATACTCAAGAGCTATTGGATTCATACATTTCAGATAGACTCTTTAGAGTAAAACAAGATTAAGCATACTCTGAATTGAAAGAAATCAAAGGCAAGAGTACCTCAGGGAAGCGTTCTGGGATCCAATTGTATTGAACAAGCTATGACTACGCCCCACAAAATTGCTACTAAAACTAAATGTTTTAATATTCGTTCTGAATGTTTTTTTTTTATTTTCAGTTGAAGAAGATCGGTTGGACAAAGGAGGAAGTGGACCTCTACGAACTTAACGAAGCCTTTGCGGTGCAGAGCATTGTCGTGAATAACACTCTTCAAATAGATGAATCTAAAATAAACGTTACAGGTGGCGCTATCGCTCTGGGTCATCCAATAGGATGTTCGGGTACGAGGGTGCTTGTGACTCTGATTCACAACTTACACAGATTGGGAAAAAATAAAGGAGTGGCGGCCTTGTGTATCGGCGGCGGCATGGGTATAGCTTTAGCTGTTGAGTTATAGTCGATTTTAAAAATTATTTTTTAAATAGTAAAATTCGTTTATTATTAAAATATTTATAAATTTTATAGACATATATTTTATATTTTTATCTGGTGACAATACAGTTTTTCTAGCAAGTGAGCAGTTTTTCTTATTAATTAATTTTTATCTACAGCTCATAAATTACTTTTAAAACTTTAAAACAATTAAATATAATGAAATAAAATTGAATATTAAAACTGTTTCCTAACATTTTTTCTTAATTCTCACTGGTAAACCTCTAGCTACACAAGCTGCTCTTGTCATAATATTCGGTAAATTCTTTTTAGCCCAAATAAGAGCTAGTAATAAACCAGGTTCCCACAAATGTTCTTCAAAAGCTGGTTGGTTATTTGAAAGAATTACTAAAATAAATACAAATTAACTAGAAAGTACTTGAAGTTTTTAAACAATTTTGAGTAAAAAAAAAATTAATTTACCTTTATCTTCCCCTTTTTTCCACTTTTCCTTATCCACGTATTTCCAATGTTTCGAAGCATTTGAGGGTATCCAATAGCTCATAAAATCTGTGCTAAGAATATCCGTAGCTTTATCTGTTACATCCCATAACATTCCTACCACACAAGGGCTGAAAAGGACAATTTTAATGAAAAATATTTTATTTTAAACTCACGTTTTCAACAAACGCAAGTTTTGCTCTTTTTTTTATCACAATTTTAACAATTAAAGGTTTTTTCTAATTTTGTTATACAAAGGGACAAAAAAGTGTCAAAATGGTCTAATTTATTGTAACGTTTGTTTAATTTATTTATAGTTTATTTATTTAAAACACTTTATTTATACCGTACTAATTAATTTATATAATACAATTACAACTCAAAATTCTTATTTATTTATTACAATTTCTCTTTTCTGTCCAACACTAAAATTGAAACTTATCGTCCATCGACAAACTCGCGCTATTTATATAAAGTCAGCTCTGTACCCGAATATTTGAGGCGACCCAGAACGTTCGGGAACTCTCTCCCCATGACTCATACTCCGCAAAGCGATCACTCCGGTGGCTTCTCGAAGCAGGGCGTTTGTCTCTATATGGCCAGATAGTAAACAAAGAACAGAGTCGGCTTCGTGTCTTTAAGAAATAGTTCCTTCTGGAACTAAAATGGAATGGTTGAATCTGCAACTGGATCCTCTTTTACAATTTCCAGTTGCATGGAAGTAACAAGGGACGGTTTTTATTGAAACCTGGACCCTGGGCTGCAGACCAGTATTTGGACCTCGGAATCTTGTAAAATTACTTCCAGCATGTTTCTAATGATCCTCCAATTTAGCTGGTTGCTCTCTATCCTTGACATGGCTAGTTTCTGTATCTTTGACTCCAATACGTGCTCCCTCAGACTAAGTAATGCTTGCCATACATCATAATAAATGGATCGATCTCGGAAGGTGTTCTTCGTTATCAAATAGATAAGATAACGCGATCCGAAATTAAAGACCTGGGAATCGTATTTTGCTCAGATCTTTCCTTTAATAATCATATTAATAAAATTGTTAATAGAGCAATGAAAACGTTAGGTATGCTGATTAGAAACTCTAGCTCGCTATCTTTAGATGCCTGTAGAATGGTTTATGTTGCATATTATTATGTTAGGTCGATTTTGGAGTACAGTTCTACCATATGGTGTGCATTTTACAACAACTCTGTAAAAAGGATTGAAAATTTCCAAATAAATATTCAAGATATTGTCTAGCGACAGGTACATATAATTATTCCACAATGGGGCATGTTCAAAAATTTTGAATTTTTTTTATGAATAGTAGAGTTAAAAATAAAACTACATTTTTTTTATTTTTTTTTTTTTATCTATTCATTTGCCGGAGTTATGAATTTTTTTAAAATTTATGACGTCACCGGGAATAGACCAATAGGAGCTAGCGCACAACGTTGCCGGCTAGAAGGTTTACGAGAAGTGATGTACGTTCGTTTGTGTACTCCTTCTTACTTTTAGACTTCTAAAACATCGTTAAACAAATATCTTTTAAATATATAATATCAAATGTTTTTTGAAAGTATTGTTTCTGTTTAAACTTTTACTATATTTAAAGTTTTATTGTTTTAAAAGTCACTTAATAATTCAGAAAATGGCAAAACGGCAGCACTGTATGTCATCTGTCATAGTGTCTCGATCAATAATTTATTTGGAATTTGAGTGTTTATTTTGTACTTTTTATAAATAAATATTATGACTACGAAAAAGTGTTTTGTTCCAGAATGTGATAATGATTCACATTCATCTTCAAAAATATTTATTAGTGTTCCTAGAAATTTGGAAAGAAGAAAATCAACCTTCTACTAGCGATGTTTCTCGTAAACTTTTTAATAAAAATACACCGGATTATCAAGATGTAGCAGCAATTTCTGCTAATTGTCCCCTTCAGGAAATTGAAAATGAGGCTACTATAAATTCTTAGGTGTATAACCTAAAAACCCTTCTGGAAGAAAATGCAGAATCTCCTGAAAGTTTTGAAGATACCGAATTTATTCATCATTTTGTGGAAGAACTAGTGATAAAGAAATAATAGAAAAATGTGGGTATTTAAACAAACTGGTTCCTGGATCCCATATAATGGCAGATAGGGGTTTCAGAATATTTATCTACTTGAAAACATGGGATGTACTTTAGTAAAGCCACACCTAGTGTATCACAGAATGAAAAAAGTTCTCCAGAAGATGTACAATTAAGTAAAAGAATAGCATCTCTAAGAATACATGTGGAAAGAGTTATAAGAAGGGTTAGTTAATTTAACAAGTTAAAACCACATTCGTGTGTGAATTTTAAGCAAGTACATTTACTTAGTAATATCTGCATAATTGCTTGTTAACTTACAAGAACCTATTTTGTAAGAGTAAATATTAATTTAATAATTTTTTTTGTTTTTTTAATTTAATTTACCTAATTATCACATTTCAGGGATTATAATGAGTTTTTAAACAGCCAATGGAGTCTATTCTGTAACAATTCCTTTATATTTAACGGCCTTTAAAAATATTTGGCGACCTTTAAAAATATGTTCGTATTCGTTAATTTACTTCTGTCATTATTTAAAAAGATTTCTTTAAGATAGTCCTCTAATGTATTTTAAAGATCCGTTTAAATAATGACAGAAGTAAAGAAGAAAATATTTTTAAAGGCCGTTAAATATAAAGGAATTGTTACAGAATAGACCCCAATGTAATTTATATAAAATTTTAACTTTTCGAACAAATCAAAGAGGAATGAGTACCTGTATATGCATAGATTTTTTTGGGGCTAAAACTACCAAAACAAAGGCACCTATTTACAGCAGTTTAAAATGAAACATTTTGACAAAAATGCCTATGTCACAGTGATAAATATTAAAAACAACCAAGTTCAGTTGAATGTGGTAGCAAAGTCTATATATTCCAATAAATTTTTTTTCTGTTGAACCAAATATATCACAAAATTTAAAAATTGATCATAGGTCAAGCAAGTAATACCTTTATTGATAGTAGCTTTAAAAAAGGAGAAAGAATAATATTGACTTAAATTATTATTATTATTAACATTGGTGATTTTTAATAAAAACTCTTCAATTATTGTTTACAAACAAAAATATAAAAATCTGTGAAAATTTTATTTATTAATCTTTTAATAAAAAATGAGAAAAATGAAGTAAAAAACAATTTATTTACAAATAAAAAATATATATACAAATCCTAAGAATATAAAAGTACTGATTTATTTTCCTGTAATGGATGAAGAGGTTTCTTTAACAATCTAGCCAAGTGTACATCAATATTTACGCATTTTGATAAATTAGAGCCTTTCCAATAACACTGAATAGATGTTACAGATGGTTCCTCACTTCTTCTATGAAGCCACATATTTACAACCAACTGAAAAAAAATAAAAGGGTTAGATATGCAGTTACAAAATAACTATATAACCAGCTACAAAATGCCTTTATTTTATGTAACAAGACGAGCAGAGCTTTACTAGCTCTGAACGAATCCAGTAAAGAACCTCGGATTTTCAAAACTTAAAAAAAAACAATCTCACCACATTTTCACATTTTTGAAATATAGAGCTTTTCGAAAAAAACTGCTATTTTTAAAAATACAATTTGTTTAAACAGCTGTCTCATTTTAGGCTATTGAGTATTATAAAATAAAAAATTACGGGATGCTTTGTTAGCTTCAAACGAATCCAGCAGAGCACCCCAGTTTTTTTTTAAACCACACCACGTTTTTTGGCTCCTACAATATTATAAAATATTCGAAATTTGGCATTTTAAAAAAAATTCGCAATTCCTTGCTGACTTCAAAGTTTTTTTCTGAAAACAAATGTACTTACCACATTTTTAGGATTTTAAAACAGCCTAAACATGTGTCATAAGTAGTTGTTTATATATATAAAAAAAAAAAATTAAAAAACTGAAGTGTCCTGCTGACTTTGTTCCAACAAAGCACCCTGTATTATTTAAAAATAGCAATTTTTTTAGTAAAGTTTTACAATATTTCAAGAGTCTAAAAATATTCTAAAAATGGGGTGTGGTTTTTAGAAAAAAGCTTTAAAAAACCGAATTGCTCTGCTGGCTTCTTTTGAAGGTTAGCAAGCACCATGTATTTTTAAAAATATAATATTTCAAGTGCATAAATATATGGTGTTGCTGTTTTTACAGAAAAAACTTTATAAAATAGAGGTGCTTTGCTGACTTTGTTCGAAGCTATAGAGCATTTTAAGTTTTGCAAAAAACGAGGAGCATAAAATTTTTGAAAAGGGTATAAAAATAGCCTAAAAATATGGCATATTTTTTAACTCAAAATTTCATAGGTGCTCTGCAGCATTCTTTGGTATCATAATTATTACTAGGTTCACTAACAAAATCTGTTTCTAGATTATTTTAACACTTGCTGCGATTACAAAAAATGTCTATATTTCAAAATTAGAAAAAAAATATTTATAGGAATAAAGGGCCTTATACACTGTTTATTATATGTAATATAAAAACAAAAAAGCATAATAAATATTACAAACCTTGACATGCAGCATATCCTAAGCATATTGTGCACTAAAAATTTCATTTTTGTTAATTACAATGCAACCCACATCAGAAGGTTTTTGCCGTACTTTATGTTTAGGTGTAATTTGTCTCCTTCTCTCTTATGGAAAAAGAAATTATCCCCATATTCTTGCTTGGCAGATCTAAAAATAAAACCTGAGATAAATATGTTTTACTTGCTCCATATAAACTGTAACTACTTACTATTAAAACAAAGTCTTACCTTTGTGACTTTTGTAAACTGAGTATTGTTAAAAAATGCAGTAATCATCTCGGTAATCATATTTTCGTTTACAATGGGTAAAACACTTGATTCAACTTTTATAAATCCAGCTGATTCATATCTTAGATAATATAATAGCAGATAGGCCACCACTGCATAAAGTTATACAATATTAATCTCGCTATCATATAATCAGTATCTCTCTTTCCAATGAAGGCTTTCTCACTCGTTTTAGAATTCTCAGCAGTAGCGTACCGTAAAACAATTTCGCTGGGTCATTTTAAATGCGAAAATGTTGACCAAATAGAATATAAAATAAAATGTTTTAAAAGGTAGGTAGGTGCATTTTTAATGAAGTGAAAACAAAATATGACTTTTTTGTTATGAATATAATATTAATAACAATTACTTCTAACACCACAACACGAACAAATTTAAATTAAACACTGGAATAATTGTCTGAGAAAAGCTTTGTAAAACTGACAAATACAAACAAAGAGATAGAGATATTAATCTATTTCTCTCTAATCAGAATTTTCGACCATATTATCATGGCGACACAATCATTGTTTAGTGTCCTCTCTTTACTACTTACTTACTCTGAGATTCATATTAATAATAAAATTAAACCAAAACAAAAAACTAAGGTTAGATGTTACTGATGTTAGGTAGTGTCAATTTTAATGTCACTTAGATGTGCGTTCACTTCGACATTCTGTGAGTTGGTTTCTTCGTTGGCTTGGTTTTGTATAACAAAAAAAACTTCGACACAAGATGATTGGTCTATTCCCGATGACGTATAATTTCAAATTTTAAATTTCAATTGGGCTTAATTTAAAAACTTTTGGCTTTTTTAACGAACTGACTATTTAGAATAACTTGTATAGCGACTAACTATTACAATATAATTTATAAAACAGCATATCTCACATGTGAACATGGCCCATTCTGAACTTAATAAACCTCCCAAGCCTTGTAAATCGAAGAATCTTTGTGGATCTGTCATTCCTCTTTAAAATCATAGCCGGAATTGTTACATCTGATGAGTTATTATCCATGATTGCATTTAGAGTTCCCCCAAGAACTACAAGGAATAATAGTCCATTTGCAATTCAACTTCACCTCACTAATTATGCTTATCATGCGCCCCTACCTAAACTAATGAGACTGGCTAATCAATACAATTTAGATGTCCTGTGTGTTCAAATTAGTTAATTTCAGAATAATGTAAAGAGAATATGTTTTTAATATCTTTAGTATATTTCATTTCATATATTTGATGTTAAATTTTTTGTACCTACCTTTTATAATGTACTTAAGCTATTTTATGTAATGTATGTACACTAATGGATCTTTTCGCAATATATATATTGATTCATTTATATATTTTTATTGGGGTTTAACCTGTTTGGAGAATTTTTTTTAGGAAACACAAGGAAGGATTGGAGCATACATTTGAGAAACTGAACAAATTCAGCTATTAATGAATCACAATAAGTGATAATGGTGAAGAGACAGAAGAAATAAAAGAACGAACAGCCTAAATGGGAAAAATGAAGGAATGCTTTATCTCCTAAGATCCAAGAATGTCAAAAAACCTAGAGAGTCAACTACGGAAACGAGGTATAGAAATTAAACAATAAAGAAAATTAATTCGAAAAAATATTGGAGCGATAAGTGCTTGGAAAGATATACGACGGAAAGAAAATAGATAATATTATGGCAAAGAAGAATAAACGATGAAATAAACTATATACATGGTGAACGAATGTAGCCAGGGCACAGCGAATAAGATGGTTAGGACAACAAAGCAAGTATTAACAGGGGAAATAACCAGAAGGAGAAGAGGACGACCACGGACCAAATGGTATATAGTGGAAAGGGTCCTAAACGACATGGGTATAAGGGATTGGCGTATAAGAACGGTAAACATAAAAGAATGGAGGAAAATAGACAACGAAGCTATGGTCCTTGTAAGTACGTAGTGCTGATATATTATTTTCGAATATATTACTAAATACAGTATAACTTCAGTAGTCCGGGCAGATATCGTTCCGGGGCATGCCCGGACTATTGAGGCGTCCGGATTACTGGAGTAATTTGAATTTATGAAATAAAACAACTTAAAAATGATCAAAAAAAAATTACACTTCTCATAAAAAAAAACAAAAAAAAAACAATACTTCTCAAAAAATATCTAAAACAAAAGTGTACACAATTCCTAAGTAAAACATGCAATTTGCAAATCTTCTAATTTTTTGAAAACTTATTAATTGTAGTTTTTTCGATGCATCTACATTAGTTGCTTTTGAGCCTTCTCAAAAGCAATACATCTTCAAGGGGAAGATTATTCTCCTCAGTCCACCTGAGAGCTAGTGAAAACGCTTTGACAGCATCTGCATGTTTCACCTTCTCCATATTTACATCACCTTCTGATTCAGAAGATTCATTTGTATTTTCAATATTGCTCCCTACTGCATCCTGGATAAGCTGTTCTTCAGTTAAATCAACAACAAACTCGTCTTCTCCCACAGCCCATTTTGTGATGTTTTCGCTGTTTCAGAGGCAAAATTGTCAAAATGCCCGAATCACAGCAGTGCCCGGATTACTGGAGTGTCCAGTCTAGCGACTGTCCGAACTATCGAAGTTATACCCGAGAATACCGATCAAGGAGAAGCGACAGCTTGGTGTTTTCAGTGTACCGTTTTGTAACGTGCATGTGCGAAAATAAGTTGTGTATCACTCAAAATTATGTTACCTGTCAAAGTCAGTCCAAGTTGTGTTTAGTACGTGAGCAATGTTAAGTGCATACTTAAATAAGTACAATTTCTAAAAATTCGACTATGCACACATAGTCCAATGGACGTCCACTTTAGATCTATTTGAGGGTCAGGACGTCCATATCCGGGCATCCAGTGCACGTCCGTTTATGCTAATTAAATTGACAGCTGAATATCGATACCCAGAGAACGTCTGTTTTTGGACTTAATTTTAAGTTTAGTAGTATTTTGACGTCCAGTGGACGTCCATCTTAGGTCATTATTTATTAAGCCTCCCAGATAATACCCATCTATATATACTTCTTTTTTTTTTAATATAACTTGTCATTAAATTGAATCTATTAAATTTCATTCTATCAGCGGAAGTTTGAAATCTTATTCAATTATAACTGTATCTAGTAAAAAGTTTTCAAGTGGCTCGTCTAGCGATTGAAAGCCTAAAACGATAATGGGAAAAGTGTCGTCAGTTCGATTCCTGCTCAGGTCAAGCGATTTTTAATAAAAAATAAATAAATGGTGTATAGCGGTTTGTGAAAATAATAAACAAATTATTAATAATATAAAATAGTGTGTGGTGAGTTGCGGTTCTGTAAAAAAAGTGGGGATGTGGCCTCAATGGAAATATAATCCTGGACGTTTTTTGAATGTCCAGTATTCGACGTCCAAATATATTCCAGAATTGGACGTCCTCTGAATGGTCAAAAGTGTGCCATTTGTATACTTCACTGGACGTCCATTGGATGTCGGAAGTCCAGAAAACTCATTTTTGGACGTCTAGACATCCAAAATTGTATATCGAATGGACGTCCAATGGACATATTTGTATTGTCTGGGTGATAGCCAGGCCAGGTATTTAACTCTAAATACATAAACCTTAAATGACATCTGGTTTAACTTGGCGAGAAAACACTTGTTTCTAGAGAAATGTGTGATAAACTTGAAAGTCCTTTTAATATAATATAAATCTAGAAATTCTAAAAATATGTAAGTACTTTTTAAACCTAAAAGTTTTGAAAATATATGCACATTGCTAATATTTAGTTAAACCTCTCAAACTTAATGTCTTTTTAATTGTTACCTAAATTTTTTTTGGCACCCTTAATTTTATTTACCTTATTTTTGCTTAAGGAAAAGGTAATTTAATTTAAATATGGGGCTTTTATTACATTTTTAACAATAAATATACCAAATATTGAACAAATTTTATAGATAAATTATAAAATAATAAACGTCTTTTACTTTTATAACAAATAATCAATTATTACATAATGAATTATATTTTGGTGCCGAAATTTCACCATTGCTATTAACCCTAACTACTTCAATGTAATTAAATCACATTGCAACATTTACGCATGGACTATAACAATAATTTCAGATAATTTGCCAAACTATTTCGCTCAGTGTAGAAAATAAGCATGTTTTCTCAGCGTGCTAAGTTGTGTATCAATCAAAGTCATGCTGTGAAAAAGGTACATCCGATATCAAAGGCACCGACAGCTACTGTCGCTTCTCCTTGATCGGTATTCTCAGGTTATACTGTACAGTCTTATAAATTTGTCATATAATTAACGGATTTTCACAATAACTAAACACTAAAATTTATTTAAAAACCACCTGAAACCGTCGCATCTAATTATTCCGCAAAAGGGATAAATAGAACAGAAAAACAGTATATTATCAATATGCTGTGCCAGTATTTACATATTAATTGACCCAAAACGAGTAAATATTTAAGTTGAACCAAATCCGACGCGCTTTATCTGATCTATTGTAGTGTCAGATAATAAATAGTCAGAAATGACAAGAATGTCATTGCGTGAATGTTCGTCGAAATTTTCCGGTGACGGGTAATTTAAATTTTTATCTGGGATGATATTGAAACTGAAGATGAAATGAACACATAAGCAATACATTTTCAACCATGAACACCGCCATTTTGAGTAAATAGTAAGTTTTAAAACGAACTTTTTAGAATTTATTAATATATCGTCAAAAATTATGTTTCTACAATAATTTTAAACTAGCCGATAATGATTTTTTAAAGAAAATAGTCAATTAATTTAACTTTGAAGTAGGAATTAATACATGTTTATATGAAGAAATGGTGTAGTTTATATGCTTTTTAAAAATAAATAAATGAATATGTCATTGGCTACATTTGTGTTAAGTAACTTGACAGAGTAGTGTCTGTAAAATGGTACTTGTAGAAATATTATTGCAGTTCTTGAAAACTATTTTTCTTATTTTAAAAATGTTAAGTGGTTTAAAACTCTTGCAAAATAATCTTTCGCCGTAGTTGAAAGCTGATACAAAGAAAACTCATTTTTCATTTTTTTATGGGTTGACACTGTATTGCTTATCTATGTCAACTTATTGTGGTATCGGATTTTTAAGGATGTCCATTAAAAACTTACCAACGAGCAATAAGATACATGTAATAATGCCCAAACATGTCCGTTTGTGGATCTGTCCTCACCAGTCTGGTACTACCGCACCCAAAAAGTAGTACAATGGCTTTCACATGTGACTTTTGAAGTTTTTCTGTTGGAATATAATTACTTCCGCTTCCGTGGCCATTATAACTAAAAAATAAGATTTGTTATTACTACCGCTCTAAAAAAAATACTTTATTGTCCAAATAGGTTAAACCTCAATTAGAGGACACATACAAAATTGTTCCAAAATAAAAAAAATAACTTCAATTAATAGCTTTGTGCTTAACATATTCAAATTCGCCCTAAAATCTAATAAAAGAATAAAACTATAGTTATTGATATTGACTGAGTAAGTACAATTTTTCAGCTGCCAAAATATTTGTTAGAAGTGTGGGAAAGTAAAATACAGTTTTATATCTTGTATTGAAAGTACCGCATACACTAAATTTAATTTGGGATAGCAGGTCTGACATTCCAATATACTATTAATTAATAAATAAAAATTATACACTGTCTTTTAGATATATAAAAGATAATTTACTCAATAGAGCAGCATTGTCAATTTTCCTCTCTGGATAAATCCCATCAATTTTAACACGTTAAGCGCCGTGAGGTATAATGCACCTGTCGCATCCCATTTAGCACTTTGGGCCTCATGACACAGATGCTATGCCTCACTGTCGACAGTTCTGTGTGGCAATATTAACGGTTTGGCCCAGTGGACCGGATTTTCAGATTCTACTGTGGCGCTTACGTGTTAAATACAACATATTTTAATAAATCTGGATTTACATGGGTGACCATACCAGTGCCGCATATTCAAGACATTATCTTACAAATGAGTTGAATAATACTGTCGTGCGATCGCCTGAAACCGACCTTGTTCTCTATTTACCTTTACCGCGCCGAGTCTGGCGTTGGCTATCGCTGTCCGTCCACCTCGAAGACTCGAGAAAGTAACTAGAATGTTTTTCGTATGCAGTTCGACGCGTGGAGAACGTATTTCTGAGAACTTCCAGATTAACATGGAGCTTCTACCCAGGATCGAATTTTTCTAGGCTGTTACATTTTTATACAAATAGCGCGAATTTGTCGATAGAAGTTAAGTTTCTATATGTTTTCAAGTAAAGAAATTGTAAAATAAATTAGAAGTGTAAATTATAATGGTGCTTAAGTATTAAATACATTTAGAACGTAGTGTCAATAATTTATAAACTGTTTTAAATAAATAAACTATTTTTAAATTAAACAATCGTTACAATACAATTAACTTCTGAAAATGAACACAAACATTTTCTTAGATGTGGATATAATGTTAAATAAATGAGGTAAAAACCTTAACTTCTTTGTCATATTGACTCCCAAATCTTTTTATTTTTTCCTCAAGTGGGTTATTCTGTATTGAGTATACAAAGTGGCTGTTATTTAAGCGCTTGATTAAGTCTCATGAACTTGCATTTTTGAATGTTAAGAGTTTGCGAATTTATGGCACTTTAAATCATCAGCAAATATGAATTATTCCTTCTTAAGGTATTTGCCCACATCAAGGGTGGTACAAAATTGATTCGATCTGTTGTTTACTCCCGTGATATGGAGTCTAGCGGCGCGCTGGCAATATAGAAACAATCAGACGCTTCTCGAATATACCAGAACAAGCGGTAGGTACGTGCCGTTCAGTCATAGAGATAGAAGTCTAGAGTATTCTGGTTAGATAGTTGGCTTGATATAAATATCGCGAGTAATAAGACGGAAGTTAGTTGTATATAGTTTAGTTTAGTATAAAGTGTTAGAAAAGTAAAATTGTAATAAATAAATTAGAATTGTAAGTTAGTGCCTAAGTATTATATAAATTAATTAGTACGTCTTAAATAAATTGTAAATAGTGTGTTTTAAATAAATAAACTATAAATAAATTAGACTATCGTCACAATAATAATGGAGCCAGATTAGTGCCTTGAGAAGTTCCACTGGTAGCCACAAAAAAGTTATATTCAACAGAGAACGAGCAGTTAAATATTATTTAAAATGCGCGGGATATGGAAATCGAAACAAAGACTATAATTTCTGCAAAAAAAAATTATGATCTATCCTATTGAAGACTTTTGAAAAGTTTATATATGTTGTTATTCATCGAGTTAATTACATACTCTCTGCGTGAAAGACGTTAAGTTGTTAGCACAGTCGACCTCTTTGATATAAATCCGTGCTGATGCAAAATGATAAGGAAATATTATTTTATAAATGACAGACATCTCAAACACTTTCGCAAAGTTAGAAAATATAGTAACAGGGCCGTAATGTGTAATTGCATTGATTGATCCACTTTTGTGAACATAAATCTGGGAATATTACAGAGGTTTGCTGAATGCACCAGCACAATCCTAAACTATGAAACTTGGAATATTATCATATAACCAGATGTTTTGTTTCGATTTGAGCTTTTTTAGATCATTAAATACATCTATCTACTGATGGCATTCTTAAAGAAATAATTTTTGAATCTCCACAAGCATCAATGTTATTATTTATATTGAGTAAACATATTTTAAAAAATCTGCAAAAACATTTACTATGTACATCTGATCATTAGATTCGTGGTCATTGTGAAACATAATGACTGGAATCCTGGGTGTATCCTTTTTGCTTTGAATAAATGACTAGAATTGAGATGGGCCACTCAGGAGTTTTCTGTTGTAGATATAAAAATTGTTAAAATTAAAATTTCACATAGAAAACTTACGAAAAAATTTCAGTATTGGTTAATAGGTCAAAGAAATGATCTTTAGTTGGTGAATATCCCGCAGAACCTATCCACTTGGGTGTCCAGTAATTGAAAAATGACATCATTCTGGTTTCCATTTTTTTTAGGTCCAAATTGGGATTCACGACATACCCTCCGTTTTCGTAATCTGTAATGATCTTGTAACCATCTACTATCTCGTTTTCATGTTCTTTAAACAGACAATAGAGGAAATGAAGGGAGGGCAATCGACAAGCAGGTTGTTCTTCTAATACATCTATCATTTCCCACGGAAAAGCATCTAAACTCTAAAAATAAATTTTCCGTTTTTCTTAAATAACTCTTAGATGTGAAATCTATTCAAACCATATTATCACCCTCTCAAAAAGCAGCTTCAAACATATTAAAGATATTAAATGTTGTATAGAGTTGAGACAATATTACAGGAACTGTTATTTAATTATTTTAATCTTGGTAAACCGACATTCTTTATATGAATTTATATCAATTTTTAAATGTATTTCAGAAAAATATTAACGCATATTTAATTTCTTTAATAATTTGAGAAAAACTCTTAAATGTGAAACCTATTGAAACCATGTTATCAGCCTCTCAAAAAGCAGCTTCAAACATATTAAAGATATTAAATGTTGAATAGAGTTGAGACAATATTACACGAACTGTTATTTAATTATTTTAATCTTGGTAAACCGACATTCTTTATATGAATTTATATCAATTTTTAAATGTATTCCAGTAAAATATTAACGCATATTTAATTTCTTTATTAATTTGAGTAAAAAATACATTATTTATTTGACTTTTACTATACTACTATTTCTTTGAATTGACTTTTCTTTCTTTATGAATTTACATATCGATGACTAAGAGGACAAATATTGTATGTCCATTTTTGTCTAAAATGAAATATGTCCTGTTCTAAATCAGTCGAGACAAAATCTTTATTGTGCCAAAATATTGGAATGGTTTAGTAGTTACTGAAGTAACATTAAAGACATGTCCATTCATAACACCATGAACATCCTGCACAAATGTTGTATGTCAAATACAATATTTGTGCAGTTCACAAAATTCAACTCGAACAACTTTTTTTTTGTATGTCCAAAGATACAATGTTTGTTTACATTGTTGGAGGCTCGTTGGCTTAAAGCACGTGTTGCAAGCGTCTGCGCAAAGACATCGCAGGAGTCTGTTGGTGGGGTAAATAACAATATTTGTGAGTGTGCTAGGAATTTGTCGTTTCAGTGTTTGTTGTATTTTCGACTTAAAGTTATCTACACATTTAATTGATAAATTTGTGTAGCGTAAGAAATATAAAAGTAAAATGAACAGCCGAGGAAAGCGAATAGTTCAAATTGCAAAAAATAGTAAGTAGTTGGATCATAAATATTTTTATTTGACATAATAAAGTAACAAATGAAGAAAAAAACTGTAGCTTGAATGTTTTCAAATTTAAATTTGGACGAGAATCAAGATGACATTATTCCAGAGACAGTAGCTGGACCTTCCTGTATAAGACGATTATCAGAGTGTACTGTCGATGAGCCATTTGCTGATTCTGGAAGTGACTACCTTTCATCTGATAGTAGTTCAGCTTCGCCAACACATGACTCAGAAAATCATCGCGTACTATCTCCTGTAGTTTATGACATAGAAGGAACAGCACGAAGAGAAAGAAAACGCAGGCTAGTGGCTAAACCGGAATTATGGAAGAAACATAAAATGAAGTTGTTAAGAGTGGCTGGCAAAGAATATGTAAACAGAAAAGGTGCGATAGTAACAGCTAAATCGCCTGGTATAGTTAATTGCAATAACTGTAGATATAAATGCAGCATTAACATACCTAGAGACAGACAAATAATAATTTGTAAGGAATATTGGGAAATGGCTGATTCAACAAAACAAAAAATTTTTATTTGCTCGCTAGTGGAAGAGAAAAACATTGACAGAGAAAGAAATCGTAATGATAGAAAAAAAAACTAGAAAACACAGTCGTTATTATCATTTACTAAGTGCCTCTAATAAACGTGTAAGGGTGTGTCAAAAATATTTTTGTGCTACATTTGCATTCAGTTTTCAAGTAGTTGAAACTGCATTAAAATACCGTGGAGACAGTGGTGTTTATGTCGGCTTTGACCATCGCAAAGGAAGACCAGCTCCGAATGTAACATCTGCTGAGAAAGTTCGTCATATTAAGACGCATATTGACATGTTCCCTAGAATGGCATCCCATTATTGTCGCCGTGATACTATGAGGCAATATCTAGCAAGTGACTTAAATATCAGTGTGATATATCGTTTATATTGCAGCAATTATTGTCTTCAAAACAATGTACCATCTGTAAAGTACAATGTATTTCGATCAGTGTTTAATAGTTATGATCCACCTTTGTCATTTTATAAACCGAAAAAAGACCAATGCGTAACATGTAACGTTTATAACAGTGCCGCAGATAAAACAGAATTGCAAAGTCAGTGGGAGGCACATAAAGCTAAAGAAAAAAGTGGAATGGAAATGAAAGCAGCTGACAAACAGAAAGCAGTTGACAATAAAGGTGAAACATTTCGAGCTATTACATTTGACTTACAGTCAATACTAAATGTGCCTTATGCTGGTGATAGCCAAATATTCTATAGACGCAAACTTTCTGTCTATAATTTCACCATTTTTGATGCTTCCAATGCAGATGGTTATTCTTATCTGTGGGACGAGACACAGGGCAAGAAATGATCAGTTGAAATTGGAAGTTGTTTGCTAAAATATTTGTAATCTTTACCTAATACTGTTACACATGTATCTTCATTTTCAGACACTTGTGGTGGCCAAAACCGCAATAAATATGTGACTGCTGCGATGCTGTATGCTGTTGCTAACATAGATAATCTTGAAGTAATAGATCTAAAATACTTGGAGCCAGGACATACATACCTAGAAGTGGATTCGATGCATGCTACCATAGAATGTGCTCGAAGAAATAAGAAGGTGTACACTCCCCGTGAATGGGGTGTTTTAATACAAATGGCAAGGCTGAAACCTCGTCCCTACATAGTTACCCATCTCACATACTTAGATTTCTATAATTTTAAGGAGTTAGCGTCTAAAATTATGGTAAATACTACATGTGACACCGACGGAAATCAAGTCAAATGGTTACAAATTAAATGGTTACGCTTTATAAAGACTAATCCGTCAACCATTTTTTTTTAAGTACGATGTTAAAAGTAATGACTTTTTAAAACTGAACATACGCGACGTAGGCACTAAACGAACGAGAACACGCAAACAGTGTGAAAATGTCTACGATGTATCTCTTGAGCAACAGTACACCAGTTTGTTGCCAATATCCAACGCAAAAAAGCATGACCTTTTGTGCCTATTACGCGAAAAGGTTATTCCAGGCGACTATAAAAACTTTGTGGAGATGTTACCTACAGCCGTGGAGGCGATAGATATTGTCCCAAGTGAATCTGATTACGAAACAGACTGATGTTTAATTGTGTCTGAATTTATCCACAAATTTGTTTAAATAATAAAAATTTAATTTATACTACTAGTACTATTTTTAAACTACTTTTACGATATTTTTATGTCAATGGCATAGTATTGCAGTATGGAAGCAATATATTGTATGTCCATATTGTACTTCACATTTATTGTATGTCCATACAGGGGTTGCTTTTAGCTCACTAAAATACCAAAATGTGATTGATATTTAACATTAATACAAATCAGAATCAAATAATAAATAAAAGAAAGGTAATAGACGAACTTAACTGTAGTTTAAACAATTTTAAACGATATCTAGTTTGTCATGATTAATGCAAACTTTCATATTGATTTTACTGAAAACATCATTTATGGACATACAACATTTGTCCTCTTATCCATCGATATAGGTAAATATTTAAATATGATTTGTGAATACGAATGTTAACTTAATATGTATCTAACTGTCCTTATGTGGGACACTAGGTGTGCTGTTATTTTCTTTTAATGGGAGATTTTGGTAAAAACTATATGCTGCAAACACCCTTATAATATGCGTATCAAATAATCAAAACTACTACTACTACCATTACGATCGATATTATTGACACATACTTTGTACTGGGCTTGAACATTTCATTTATTTAAATTTAACAAGCAGTTGTCAACACAACAAAAGATCTTGCAGCACTAGAATTTTCCTAATAATAAAAATGTTACTGTTTATACATACATCGTGCAAAATTAAAATCACAGGATGGCATTTGGTCTTTGAATTTTCGATAAAAAGTTTTTGACCTATACTCCTGATAAAATTTCCAATGATTCTTATCTCGTTTTTATTAGCATCTGGTAAGCAATAGTGTACAACTTTTTTGACCTCATTCATATTTAACTGAATATAAGTTTTGATGGCACAACATAAGATCATCTCAATTTTTTTTGTTAACTTTAAGTCAGGAACTCTGAAATAAAAAAAAAAACATTTCCAGTACTTGCTTTTTGTGGGAGACAGGGACAAATAAATTTCATGAACATTTTTAATACATAGACCCTTAAATAGTGAAAATAGGGACGTGAAATATTGTTTTAAAATAATTAAAAATATTAACTTACTGTGTTGTGAAACATTTTTTAAGCTCTATTTTTATTTGATGTTCAAGATTTGTATCACAAAATTTTCCTGTAAATAGACATCTCCATTCTTTTAGCCATAAATTTTGAATATCCTTTATTAACAACTAGAAATAAAAAAGTTGATTTCAATTTTTGATAGGTATTTTAAATAAAGAAAAATACCTTCATTCTGTCGTCAACACTTTGTATTTTATCACAATACCGTTGTTTTTCTTTATGGTTTTCAAATCTTGATTGTGTGTGACTTGTAAGACCTTCCTTATTTAGTCTCAATATTGATAGCAATTCCTTTGCCAACTCAATTTGCTCTCCTAAAATACATTTTAAAATCATCTAAGAAATTAAAAATATGACGATAGGTCTGTTCAGGTTCTTCAAAAATACATTCGGAACTATGAGAGGACTAGTTGACCAGTGAACAATTTAAGAGTTGTAAGCGACCAATAATTTGCTATTCAACTGTTCCAAACCAACCATATTTAAATTAATACAAAACACAATCATTTTAACCCCTCATAATTTATCATTTTAAATATTGGTCAATCAATGCTGATGAATCAACTTCCAATATTAATTTATTATTTTAACTATGTATAATCAATTACACAAATAGCAAACTGATAAATAATCAATGCACCCAAATTATTTTACAACTTTTTGAACTCCACTTGCCAAACCCAGCAACTTTAGTTTATTCGTTTACTTTATGTACCCCTAACATAAAAATTGAAAACTGAGGACTAAATTGAATGGGATTTGCATGAAAAAAGGTCAAATAAATATACAAGTAAATAAGTATAGCCCAAGCAATGAAGGGTTTAGGACAGGCGTTATCTGTGAAAAATTAAAATAAAGCTAAAAATTGGCTTTGTTTATACTATCTCCACTTCCACTTGCACATTTTTAGCACCATATTATCTTAGGAGAAGCCGTTAAATGATTTAAAAATGGCAACTGCACAGAGTGCATGTGTTAAACCTTGACTTGTAGTGGACTAGCTTCTGAAAAATAGGAAGTAGATGTTCTAATATTAATTTTGTAAAGGTATTTTAGTTTTCTATGGGTCTAAGAATATAAAATTACATTTTTAAGCATATATATATATATATATATATATATATATATATATATATATCGTACTTAATCAAATTTTAACTGTTAAAATTAAGTGTCTGGGTAACTGGTTCCATAAAATTCTTAAAACTCCTTCTCGGACACTGTGTCCAAAACTGGTACGACAGAGTAAAAGTTTGTTGATCCTTTTCTAATAAATGAGTATAGATATATTTGGTTCCATTGCTCATATTTAAAAAAAATAATGTACTGACCAGTTTTCAGGCATCTTTTTCCGACTATATGAGAGAGATATCCAGAGTGGCCCATAAGTCTGGAAACGGCCAATTATCTTGTAAATTGCTAGTCCTAATTGTACAAAATTTGGGGGGCACCTATTTTGGGATAGGGAGATTCCAGATTTGATATTTGCAATGTTGCCAGATTTGCCATTTTTCTTATTAGACCATATGTAACACTTAATATTTTATGTAGTCTGGAAGGTCTTAAATAAATAAAACAGAAGTCTGGCAACGCCTAATTATCTCAATAAATTTTTTAATACAAACTATTTTCAACTACATTAGACGTAACAATTGAAAGATTACAACATTTTTAACATAATAGTTACTTTATTAAGTGTTCAAAATGTGCTCCATTTTTGAGTTGCCAGTACCCTAATCGATGGTAGAATGCGTATACCACATGTCTCCACGATTGTTTTATTTATTTGAGACCTTCCAGACTTCATAAAATCATAAGTGTTACATATGGTTAAACTCGTATTGAATAGGAGATTCCAATAATGACTGAATATACAGGGTGATTAATTTAAAAAACCAAAGTGACTAATAATATAAGAAAAATGACAAATCTGGCAAAATTGCAAATATCAAATCTGGAATCTCCGTATCCCAAAATAGATGTACTCTAAATGTTGTATAATTAGGACTATTACTTTACGAGATAATTGACCGTTTCCAGACTTGGGCCACTCCGTATAATACATTCAATGCTAAAACACTAGAAATGTTTTTAATAAGCAAATAAAGAATATTTATTTATAATGTGTCTGAAAAATGGGTAGTTTTCGGACTAATAGAGATGATAATGTAATTTAATTTTTAACAGTGTCTGCCAATTTGCCCAGTGTCCAAACTTTTTATTAATAATAAAATGTATTCACGTAACATATTTTGCCTTTTCCCTTTCTATTCTCAATACTCCATTGATTACTTATCTCTCTGTATAATATTCACAAAAAAAATGACTCAATTATGTACATTTTCACCCCAAGAATTGCTTAAGTGTCTCATAACAGGTTCGATCACCCTAATCTTCTTTTGACAGACTGCGTTTCTTATGTAATGTCTCTCAATTCAACACGTAAAGTGTCGAGTTCGCACATAAGAATCCTTGTGCAGGACGAATTGAACCAACATACCAATTTTTTTTAAGCTTGATTCTAATTTTTCACAGGTATTTCCTGGCCTAATAGATTACTGATGGGAGAAGTGTTGAGGATACAAAAGAAGTAAAAATCACAAATGTCAGTTTTTATATTTAATATAGCCATTAGTTATGATTTTCACTAAATTTGATAGTATTAGTAGAAGTTATAGTGTTTGGATTCACATGGGGTTGTAAAGTAAACAATGACCGGACATACCATTAACAGAATCTCTTGGTGCATTAGCTGTGACAAAAAATGGCTCTTCTTTTTCACCACAATGGAATACAGAAATGTGAATTGAGTTTGTAAAATAAATATATTTGTTGTTGTTCATTATTTCCAATGGATTAAATTGTGGAGTTAACTGAACAATAGTCCACTCTAAAAAAGAAAATAAAAATTAGTGAATCGTTAAATAGGTAACCATGAAATACAATAAAAATGTAAATTAATACCTTTTGGCATTTCTTGGACTCGTCGCAACATCTCTTCTATCTTTTTCTCCTTTGGATATGTAAAACATTTTATATCTAAGGTTTGCTTACTCAACTCTAGTTGAGTTAATCTTTGACAAAGGTCCGATTCTTTTTCTATAAGTTTTGCATACTTATGCACAGTTTTGTTTCTCAAACCAGGCGAATGTGTTTCGGTAAGATTGTAAATAACTTCCATATCATCATTGTTTAGGTTCAGTTTGGCTTTGCAACAGTTGATTTCTAAAAAAAGATAATTAACAAAAAAACTAGTAAAATAAATATGAACGTTATACTTTCGCGTAAAGGACCGGATGATAAATGAGTATTTTCTAGTTTCTGTAGAATGTTTTGTATTTCTTCCATTTGTTTTTCTGAAATCATAATTTTCTTTACAATACAAGCCCATATATAAGTATTTGCATGCAATCTCCGAGCAATTACTACTAGAGGGAGTCTTCCCCCCTTCCCCGCGCTAAATTTTGTTAGCAACATCTACTCCTCCCGAGGGGGAAAATACCTCTTCTGTAATTGGCTTATTTAATCAGCGTTGCCAAGTTTGACAGCGCCAGAAGTGTTCTGTGAGCGCCAGTTCTGACACTTTCTGACACATGTCAATTTCTTATTTGTATTTTACGGAAAATATTATTATTTATAACGTTGTAAAGGTTGTAAATGTATATTTAAGATTTATTATCTCTAATAATATGGTGAAAACATGCTTTATGTGTAAAAGGCCTGTTGAAAATGCTTCTTCAAGATAATATCATAAGTAAGTACAGACACAACCTTTTTTAGGTTTCCTTTTCTTTATATGAGAAAGAAATACATGGTTCCAAAATATAGGAATTCAACAAGTGACCACCTGTATAACTTTTTATGCTAATGCATTTTTATTACAGACCTCAGGGAAGGAAAATATTAAAGAAAAATGCAATTTCGACGAAAGAAGTATAATAATCAATCCTGTCACTACTTCTACACTATATTTTTTTAATTTCCTTAAAAAACGTCAATATTTATTATTGGAGTTAACATCGTTATGCTAAAACAATGCTAGAACAACTTAAATAATGTGGATTTTGGCTATTTTGAGTTATGCAGATCATTATGATCTAAAAAAATGTTTGTCTGGTGCTATAGTCAGGTATAAAAACATTCATTTATTTAAACACAGTTGCAATATACATTTTATTTAGTTTTTAAGTTAAAACCTATTAGGACATCATAAAATGACTTTTTTCGTTTGATGTGAGATTAATTATTCTACATTTTTGTTGGTGAAATAGGATATATTAAAATGCCTTACTGTTTTCTCTGATTATCTAAAAAATTAGAACAATATACAAAGATTGTTATAACAAAAAAGAGATATACCTTTACTGAAACACACAATTAGTCAGTTCAATTGTACGATAATTTAAAGCAGAAATCCAGAAAACTTTAAAAATGTGTTTTTACTATAACAAGGACATAATTATTAAAAAAACTTGGCACATTAACATTGACGATGGGTTTTAATAATATATATTATACAAATCACAACGAACTACACAAAATGACATTATTAATAATTTAGCAATAAAAAAGTTAAGTACAATGATGACATTAAAAGTTGAGTTTCTCGAAATACTTTTTTTAAATTGTCTCAGTAACTTACCTAGTATTTTTCTAGCACAATGATATTATATGAATGTGCAATGTGTGATATCTTATATTTTAGGAATAAAATTATATATTTTTTTGCAGGTTTCTGTTAACAACGATTCCAAGAACTTTTGAAAATATTATTAAAATGGCATTTGCAAATATTCTCAATTAAGAGCTTTTGATCTAACATTAAATTTTTATTCTCCATAAGGTTATAGCTTCCTAAGAAGAAAGTTTATCAAGACTTACCAGACTCAAAATATCAAAATTTTACCAACCAATTGATGGTTCTACTGGTTTCCATAGGAAAATTCTCCTCGAAACTACTAAAAGAAAAGTATTAGAGGCAACCGAAGGCAAAAAAGTCTTTTGCAAAACAAAAACTAGAAATTTGTTTAAGAATCTAATTATTGTTTGAAGTTTTACCATTAATAATTTTTGATAACGTTTTAAGATTATGAAGTTCTATTATGAATTTTACTCTTTGATAACCTATGTTTAAATTTTTATTAGGACCAAAATAAATTATAATTTTCACTTCAACTACAAAAACCGTCATAATATTAAAAAGGGGAAAAACGTTAGATTAGTTATGTTCAGGAATAAACTCTTTAAACATTTATCTACTTAAAATGTGTTACTTTTAGAAGGTATGTTATTAACTTTCTATTTGTACTTGTATTAATTTATTTCATTTTATTATCTGTTGTATTTTCAAATTGATTTTGATATTAATCTTATCTATTTATATATTTTTTATACTCACATATATGTTTTTTTCATTAAAACAAACGTTTATTAGCTTATTAAATATAATGAATTCATGTTTTATTATATGCTTGTATGAATGATTACTTTCATTTCCTTTTAAAAATGAATTTCGAAGATAAAGCCGAAACGGTGAGTGAGAATAAAAATTAGACAAAAGTGACGATATTTACTGGAGATTTCATCTACACGCTCCTTTTTCTAGCCATCTATACCTGAGCCAGCAAGATTCGTCTTCCCTCCATCCTTACATTCTCCAGATTTACAGAGAAAACGCCGTCCTCTTTAACATATCCAGACCTTCTTTGACGGGGACTATACCACTACATTATCAGCTTTATTTGTTATCCCGAGCAATTTAAATGCATTCGTAATTGCTCATTCTCACCTCTTCTCTTGTTGATTCCGTTTTCTTATTTTTAGTTACGTTTGCATTGCTCTTTTATTTTCACAGCTTTAATTCTATAATGCTGTTACGCTACAATATGGACCCATTTATGTGGTTTATACTATTTAATGTTCTTCGTAAGTGACCAACCTATTATAATAATTAAAGATTATTGTATTACAGGACTGAAGATGTTCCTGTAAGGCCGAAACTAGTCGCTCCTGTATTTATAATAAAATTGATTTTAAGGTTTTATTCTTCAATTGAAAAAATTATACCTTTACAGTGATTTTGTTTCTTTTCCTGCATTAGACACATATAAGACGGTATTCATTTTAAAAATAGTAAAATTAGCAAATTTTTTAGTTTTTTTTTTACAATTAAAACGTTTGGACAATGTGTGTTTTTATAGATAAATGATACGCCACTGAACAAGAAGGATGTTTACCTTCCCCCTTGTGCCCGCTTCCTCACTTCCTCTACAGATGTTGCTAACACAACAATCGCCTACAAACTCGTTTTCACGCTCCCTCTATTAGTAATTGCTCGGAGCATGCAATCATGTGTATATTCGCATCAATGTTTTTTAAATTTTAAATGTCTTCTTCTTTTTGTTTTTTGGCCTCCACCCTTTGGGTATTTAGCCAGCGCAGGTAATTTAGCTTATTATTTTTCGGGAATATTCATTAAAGAACGTCTGGAATTTTCCATCTTCCCATTGAAGAAAAATCCATATTCACTCTTTTCCATTGATTGTATTAATACTTGATACATAGGCTAAACATGTTAAAAGACAACACAACAAAGGTATAAACTTTTCTCGCTCGGGGGCAACTGCCGAGCATCTACACAAACCCAGAAATGTTGCCTCGGATAGATAGAAAAAGCACCCAGGTTAAATAGTTCAGGAATTATTCTGGAATTAACAAGAACATATATATATAGATTCGTCCTGCCGACTTTGTGACATCATGTCGCAAAAATGTTGCTATCTTTCTAACATCCGTCTGCGATGTGACATCCAAATTCGGATGTCACAACGTTTTTGGGGTTCAAACATCATAAAGGAGGTTTAAAAGGGAGCCAAAAAAATTTCAGCTGGATGTCATAATGCTTAATTTTCAATTTTATGTATATATTTAGTTCCAGTGTATAGATGCGAAGGTGGCGCTCGCGTCAGTTGGTTTTGTATATTTTGTATATTAAATATTTCAGTCCCTCGACTGTATAACATCCACCATTAAGTATATTAGAATTTACTCACTCGACTCTCTGACATCCAACATTCAGTATATTAAAACTTACTCACCCGACTATATGACATCCACCATAGAGTATATTAGAACTTTACACACTAGGTTATGTGACATCCAAAAAATTTATTTTAGATATATTTGGATTCTCATTTTAAGATCTATTTTATGTTAACACATTAACTGCCAAAAATTTTTGTTGGGTTTCGCATAGAGCCAATAAGTTTTTTAAATGCATTTACTCTCTGTGACTAATAAATATATATGCAGCTATATTATTACAAGGTGTATCAACAATGGGTGAGTGGACGATGACTGTAATTTATATTAAAATAAATTAAATTAAAATAAAATAATTAAAAAAAATAAAATAAATTATAATAAATTAATTAAAAAAATTTAAATAAAATAAAATAAATTATAATAAATTAAAATAAATTATAATAAAATTAAAATAATTTAAAATTAAAGTAAATTAAAATGAAATAAACTAAAATAAATTAAAATAAATTAAAATAAATTAAAATAAATTAAAATAAATTAAAATAAATTAAAATAAATTAAAATAAATTAAAATAAATTAAAATAAATTAAAATAAATTAAAATAAATTAAAATAAAATAAATTAAAATAAATTAAAATAAATTAAAATAAATTAAAATAAATTAAAATAAATTAAAATAAATTAAAATAAATTAAAATAAATTAAAATAAATTAAAATAAATTAAAATAAATTAAAATAAATTAAAATAAATTAAAATAAATTAAAATAAATTAAAATAAATTAAAATAAATTAAAATAAATTAAAATAAATTAAAATAAATTAAAATAAATTAAAATAAATTAAAATAAATTAAAATAAATTAAAATAAATTAAAATAAATTAAAATAAATTTAAATAAATTTAAATAAATTTAAATAAATTTAAATAAATTTAAATAAATTTAAATAAATTTAAATAAATTTAAATAAATTTAAATAAATTTAAATAAATTTAAATAAATTTAAATAAATTTAAATAAATTTAAATAAATTTAAATAAATTTAAATAAATTTAAATAAATTTAAATAAATTTAAATAAATTTAAATAAATTTAAATAAATTTAAATAAATTTAAATAAATTTAAATAAATTTAAATAAATTTAAATAAATTTAAATAAATTTGAATAAGTTTAAGTAAATTAATAACAGATTAAAATAAATAATTAACACTTCTTACGATTCGTCCTAACATAAAAAATATGATGAGCTAATTCATAAAAACGACAAATTTCGATTTCCTAACACCTTAACAGCCTAGTCCTCCACTTG